TATAAAGGTTGCTGAAAACAGAAGAGGCAGCTAAACTGTGTTAAACAGTAGTTAAAGCTGATATTAGTGTCTGAATGTCAATTAAAATATTCTTTTTTTAGTTTACTTTTGCCTGTCTTCGTAACGTCGTTTTTAAACTGCTTATGTTTGCCTGATGTTTTGTTTCTCAGGGTGGATTTACCAGGAAATACTCTTTGAGCTCTAAAACTGGAACGTTGCTCCCAGACTTCCCCAACCCTCAGCATCTCGTGCTGCAGGGAAACACCTCCAGAGAAAAGGTTCGATGGGTTTTTGTTAGAAAAAACGAAGAATTCACAGACGTGTTTGTGAAAATGTTTCCTAACAAACGTGTTGAATCCACTGTTGTCCCTGACAGGTGGACACTCTGATCATGATGTATAAAACACACTGCCAGTGCATCCTGGATAACGCCATTAATGTCAATTTTGACGAGGTGATCGTGTGCGTCGGTTTGTTTAACGCTTTGGATAGAGCTGTCTGGATTTACGCTGCATGTTTGGTCTCCAGATCCAGAATTTCCTGCTCCACTTCTGGCAGGGGATGCCGGACCACCTGCTGCCGCTGCTGGAAAACCCGGTTATAGTCGACGTCTTCTGCGTGTGTGACTCCATCCTCTACAAGGTTTGAAGCTTTATTCAAAGACAGTAAAACAATATATCCTGCTGTCTGATCTGTCAGTGTCTTGCTCTGCTGTAACAATTTTTCATTTTTCAGGTTTTAACTGATGTTTTGATCCCTGCCACGATGCAGGAGATGCCTGAAAGGTTGGTTAAACGCATCATCAGCATCCTGGTTAGTGATGTAATGTGAATGGTTTTTWTTTTTTTTTACTGTAAATGATGTTTATCAGTCTGCTAGCAGATATCAGGAACTTTGCCAAACACTGGGAGCACTGGTTAGCCTCTTCGCTGGAAAACCTCCCAGAATGCCTTTCTGCTAAGAAGCTCCCCATAGCGCGCCGCTTTGTTTCCTCCCTGAATAGACAGACCTCCTTCTTACACCTGGCACAGGTACAGCAGTGTTGGAGGTCGCAGCAGGGYTTTATATCTGATCACCTCAGTTTTGTTTTTGTTTCTCAGATCGCTCGTCCGGCTCTTTTCGACCAGGCCGTGGTGACCAGCATGGTGCTGGATATCGACAGGGTGGATCTGAACAGCATCGTCTCACAGCCTCTGCTCAGCGTCTCTGCTGTTGGAGATCAGGATTCAGATAATTACTCAGAGTGTGAGACACGTTCACTGTGTGATTTGTTGAATACCGTATTTATTCAAGTATAATACGTAAAATTAAATCCATAAAATCATCCACAACGTTGGGGGGTAGTACTATACTTGGATAAATATTTTTATTTATGTATTTTAACTGAAATATCGGCTTCATTCAGTCTGGAAATGAGACCGCGTCGTAAAAAGCAGTTGAAACGAGCTCACCTCTGACACTCCTCCATGCTTCAGAGCGAGATAATAACAGATCCAAGCAGGCGACATTATGTGAAAAAAAGGGGTAAAAGGCAGTCCTACAGCTCAGTAATGATAACAAACTAATGACATTAGTGT